TTCTCCCGTTTCCCTTCTATTCTTGTCAGCTTTAACCTTAATTCTCAAAAATGTGGTCTTTATTCTTGTAATATTGGCATTTTATTCTCACACTGTTCTAACTTTATTCTCCCCAAATTACAACATGAATATTCTGATCTGTAAACGTCTTTCTCAAAGGGTGACTTTATTCTCACGCTGCCGTCTTCTTTTTTTTTCCTTGCCTAATTACAAATAAAATGGTTGCAATATTTCAAATCGAACTTTAATCTCATATTTCAAATTTCATTTTCCTAAAGTGGAACTTCATTTCACAATAAACCAATATTAGCGCGTGAATTCATGACGGATATCCCGATTTCAGAAATATGTCAAACGTGCTTCAACTTGGGCAAATGTGCACGTTCTTGACAAGCGGAAGCACAAATGACGAGGCTGCATATTGGAGGCAAAGGCGGAAGACAATCATCAACATTCAAAGAGAGACTTCTGCTGGGAAAGTCAAAGCTTTGTGCTCCCGTGCCAGTAAAAGAGAGTTGTAAACGAGTCCGCTGCATCCAGGAGTAGCGGAGCAGATAAGCCACTTTCCACCCAGCCCAGAGAGGATCTCTTTATAAGGGCCTCTGACGGAGGCGCCCGGCACTCAGGAACATCCCCAAAAATAACCCCATGTGATCTAGTCAGGGTCGAGATTCTGTGCTAGCACAGAGCAGGCACGAATCGTCAATCAAGTGGTAGATTAGCGAGGCTAATTAGCGCTCAAATTCTTTCCTTCTGCCGCCGAATACAACATCCGCAAAGCGCCATCCGACACACATTGAAATACGCAGATGACGACAAACTGAGCTGTGCCTCGAATGTCAGAATGAAATGTCGCTAAAATGCAACGATTTCAGAGAGCTGATTTGAAGGCAACGCGAATAGCAAAAAAAAAAAAAACGACAAATTATTGACAACCCAACCCCCCCCCAAAGGAGAAAGAGTCTGCAATTAGGTACCGATCCCCCCCCCAAAGGAGAAAGAGTCTGCAATTAGGTAAAGAAACCAAAAGACACTTACAGCTGAGAGGATCACAACGCACCGACTCCATGCATCTAGCATGCACGCCCATCATAAACTCATGTTACATGAACAACTGCATTCAGTCTCATTCAGCACAAACAACCCTGACATGAGGCTCATCATTCGTGTTCGCTAGCATGCGAGCGATTCCCCATACGGCGGCTACGTTTATTTTTTTTACTCTCTGCGCGACATGTCAGTCGAAGTGTTATTTCAAACGCTGCCTGGACAGACGAGAAAAGTTTGATGATGGCACTCATTTGACCCAGGTATGCATCATTTATTTGCATTATTCCCAATGAGCAAACTTGAATCCCATTTGGAGATTAGAGGTGGATGCATCCTGGAACAGATTAAAGTTTGACCTCCGAGATTCCACGATGGAAAGATGCTTACGGTACCAAAAAAAAAAAAAAAAAAAGATGTGCAAAATCAGGCAAAGCCAAGAAATGAGCAGATTGTATTTCACCTTCCTAAAACATTGGCTCGCACTTAAGTTTCCATGTAAGAGTCCCTGATGCCTGAATCCAGATTGACAGATCACAGTGGAAACGCAGATGTGGGGCGATGGAAAACAGTCTTTACATTCAAAGTGGCAGGTGGGCTTTTCGGAACAGCCCCTCTTTTCAGTCCATTTCCACTGACAATTGCCAATCTTTTCCCCCAAAAACTCGCTAATTGACGACACACATATGGTACTGCGCGCAACTCCGAGGTTGTCAGGTCAGCTTTGGCTACACAATATCGAAATATAAAGCAAATATATTGGAAGTAACTTGCCCAACATATGATTAAGAGTGTGGTGGACAAGGTTGGTATAGGTTTGCGTTTAGTTTTATGAAAGCCTGACTGTGGATGTTATGATAAACGTGAAAGACGTGAAACTTAAAAAAAAAAAAAAAAAATCATGGTTAATACTCAATAATTAGTTTCTTATATAATAGAATTAGTACAAAGATGATATTATAATTGTAATGTCATGGAATCATGGCATCAGTAAGGCGGACCGAAGTAACCACACCACAGAATCCCGTTGATTAAAATCTTCCTCTGGACGTTGGGGTGGCCATTGGGGCCATTTGGGCCGTAGCTCCGCCCCTGTTCCGAAAACATCTGGCAATCAGGTCTTTGCTGACTCGGATCGGAAGGGAAAGGAAATATTCAAATTCAGCCCGACTGTCAGTGTTGTTTGTATCATGCTTAAATTTGACGTTGCGTGCGTTAAGCGAGATGCGTCTGACATATTTAGAACAAACCCTTCAACTGTGTTGGTGATGAGCTGCCATTTTTCTCATTTCAAAACAAGGCGACAGCTAACATCAAAATAAGTTCACATGTGGCCACGCGGAGGTTCTGATTGACACGTCAGATAAAAGACATTTGAGGAAAGTGAGACTTGGACGGCCGGTTGGCGTCATACAAATCTGTCAGTGCAAATCCTGCGCGTTCGCTTAGCGTGACAATGATCTTAAGTCTGGTTCGTATTCCTTTCAGTCTTGCCGGTACACAGCCAACAAACGCTAGCAGACATCTCCAGCTCTAATTAGGATGTTTGCGGCCCCGGGTCACAGTTTTCCCTTGTGTCGAAGCTAATTTGAGGCTCTTAGACATTTGCGACGTTCCAAACATCTTCATGAGCTGTCTTGCTTTCAAAACACAGCCACAGCGTTGTGATAATAACACGACAATAAACCAAGCTAACCCAGCTGGTGACCCCGCAACATCTCAGCTTCCCCGCCCCAAAAAAAATTGCGCGAAAGATAAAAGGCAGCCTGTGGCGGGTTTCTACGAGGGAGAGCAAATTCGCCGGACGGAGATTGGCAAATGTCAGTCATGTTGGGCTGTTGTCATTCCTCAAGTGGCCCGTAGCCTCGTAAGCGATAGCCTGAGAAAAGGCCGAGTTATCTTGCCTGACAAGGAGACGGACCGCATGAGTGGCAAGCGGGGATGCACTCCAGCAAACTACGCAAAGACAGTGAGAATGTCTGAATAATCCAATTATTTTGTTGCATAATCAACGAATCAACCAAAGGATCATTTCGACCCCTATATTCAAAAACAGGATGGTATTTCAAATTGAGAGTGCCTGAAATGTATAAATATCAAGGCAGGTTGTTGGTCAAGGTCATCGTTTTGAAATGAATGGACTGAAATGTCAAACTTATACACCAACGATAAAATATAACATTTTAACATATGTGGCGCCTGCCTTGCATTGCTTGACTTTTTTTCTTTTCTTCTCCACCTCCTCAAGAGCACACGACAGGCTCTCGGGTGTATCTCGAGTGGATGTTGTATCCATCCTGGGAACCCTGAATGAAGATAAGGCCACTGACATCTGGAGAGCTGCTTGTGCACCACAAGCTGCGGTGAAAAGGATGGTCACTAAACTATACATATCATAGGATGGCATCAAAATAAATGCGGCCAATGTTTATTATTATACTAAACTGCATTTTAGGCACCTTCTCCAACTTTGTGTCATGTCAGAGGGGGTCTGGATACAAAGACCATCGTGACACATCTGTTTTGACACGACAAGTAATTACATACGCGATCACTCCTCATTTCTCCTCCATCTTTTAGCAGCGTCCACATAATCGACCGGAAATGTTCACAGAAAGAGCAGTCTCTGGTAACGGATAACGTTGGTGAGCGCCTAAAATAAAAAAAGATAAAGATGGAACTAACCATATCCAGATGAAATCAGGAACGGTTCTCCGTCACTTTGAATGGCACTGTGCTGAGGTTTCCTCTGCATGTGCTCATGTTTTGCACCTTCCCAGCAGTCGGAGGCACAATCCAGCTTCTCTTAAAAGTGGGTGATGGAGTTCTGCAGATAATAAATCACATTAGCATTTGACATGTAAGCAGCGGGGACGAGTGTGGGATAACTTGGCCTAACCTGCTGTTTTTTTAGTTGTTTTTTTTTTTTTTTAAGTAATACTGTATTTGGTCTATTATCAGAAACTAAATTCTTGGTGATTCAAGATAAAATGCATACATCACTCAAGAACTAGAAACTATGGTTATTTAACTCATTTAGTTACAGTACTCAAGCGTCAACAGAAATAAAACACGGAACATAAATTGGTTTTTTTTTTTTGCTTTTCATTAATTGCGATAATATAAATCCACTATTTATTATTTCACATTTTTTTTCTACCAGTTATTTAGTTATTGAATGTTGAATTTGTTTTGTTTTATGTATTGCATCCACCTTAGCCGGTTTAGTTCAGCTTGGTATCCTACAGCGCCATCAGGTGGCCACAATAGTCATTACCAGACATTTGAAATTAAACATCACCATCGTACCGTCCTGTGTAATTAAAGTCTACAAGTTAAGACCGACGACAACTTCGAAAAACAATGAATAAAAAAAACAAACAAACAAATGCGCAAACCCTAGCGAAACATCGCGTTATTATCCTCGACTAAAACTGCTAACAGAACGCTTGCGTGGCGAGATAACTTACCTTGCACCCCCAATTCGTCACCCACGTCTTCAAATATTTAAGTTTTACTATCGCTCTTTAAACAAAATTTCAACCGTGAAAACAGTTATGTTTCGGAGTTAAACGTTCGCCACTCAGCAGGCTAAACGTCGAGTTTAAAATAAAGCGGACGCTACATTGAATCAATACGCAATTATCGACACCTGTATTAGCATTTTCCAAATCGCAGTACTACACTCGAAGACGTAAACATCTAGCAAATCCAAATACAAAAGCAGCTGAGAAGACTGAGAAATCAGCTCATCTTCCGGTTAGCAGGCATCATGGCTTGAGGCATGCTTTTCGCAAAACGTTTTCTTTCATTCAAAATGGAAGCATTGAAGGTAAAAATGCGTGCTGAGAAAAGTAAACATAAAAATGTGGGAGGACTCAAAAGCAACCGTGCCGACAATGTGACACGTCAAGTTTCACATTTCTTTGATTTTAAATAAAGACAACAAAAAGTTGGGCCATAGTTTTCTGTATTTTCATGAATGAGTTAAGTTATATACACAGTAAAAGACTCAAAAACGCACCAAAAAGAAGTCATTCGCAAACGTTCCTATGTGGAAAGTTCACATTGAAGAGGCAGATCCACAAGTCATTGCTCATTCTCACATCCTCTTCCTCATCTTGCCCTTCTTTTGGCTGCCCCGACCGAAGCCGGACTTCTTCACCTCTCCCAGCCATTTCTTGTTCTTGGCGCGCAGGTTCTTGAGGCCCCCGCTCTGCAGGAAGCGATGCTTCTGTTGCTTCTTGCGTTGTTTCAGGATCTGCTGGCTGGTTTTGAGCTCGCTGCGCACTCTGCTGCCGTTGGACGCGAACTGAGGGCCCGCTGAACTCTGGCCGCGACCACGGCCGCGGCCTGGAAGACGCAAACACATTAGGGCCTCAGCCTACTTTTTCAGTATTTTGGGAATTCATTGTATGCAATAACTTTGATGTCTGCATGACTTGGAAAAATTAATAAAAACATAAATTAATACATATGGTGTTTAGGCATAAGATGCTAAATGTACCTCTTGGTGGCCTCCTCCCGCCTCCTCCACCTCCTTCCCCATCTGACCCTGCGGCTCCTTCATCAATTTTGTACTTCTTCTTCCATTCCTCGTAACTTCAAGCTTGTTAAGTAGGACAGCAAAAATACTGCCAGTCAAATTTACATTCCAAACAGTTGCACAAAAAAAATAAACGCTCACTGGTAGACGCGACATATTCGTCCAAAGGATACAAGTTCTTCTTGTTGTTCTTCTTGTGGATGGTTTGACCGCCATCGAGTTTAATTCGTTTCTTCTGGTCATCTTTGCCCGTGTCTGTTACAAAGCGCTTCCTCTTTCGATCCCTACAAATCCAAGTACCGATAAATATTGAGTACGAGACGTGACGTGACGACGATTGCAAATGTAAACCACTTTTTCGTCACCATTTCATAATCCTCTTGTGCTGGTTGAGTCCTTCTCCTTCGTCTCCCATGAGGTCGAGGACAGCGGAGGACGCTTGCGCTTCAAAGGCGCTGCCTTCTCCGCTCAAACTTAGGCTAAAAAGCACAAAGAGATGGCGTGAAGCTCACGTCCAAGAACGTTTCAATCAAGTGAACTTTTCGAAGATGCTGTCACCCCCTCTCCGAGTTGAAGTCTTTGGGTCTGTAGGGGATGTAGTATTCCTCGTCTTTGGCCGGCACGCGTTTGCCTCGCTTGTTCTTTGGACGCGCTTCTCCTTCGTCCTGATTAGCCTTACTCTTCCCACCAATCACCTCGCAGAAAACGTCCTGTTTAAGAAAAGAGTAAAAACTTGTTGGGACATTTTCTAACGGTCTTTCCCCATGCAAATGAATATAAATTGAACAATAAACAATAACAATAAATATAACTCGTGTTCTAACAATAGGCCCTTGTCTCACCAACGTCCAGAGTCTCTGAGCGGCCGGCAGTTTTTAAAAACTAAAAATAAAATGTCAACTATGAAGTTCTTTTGTTTTGAAAGTGGCACTTTTATTTTGGCGGTGCAAGCGACATTTTCGCTACATTTGGTGACTTGTCAGACCATTCCAGCGACTATTATTCAACTTTTTGTTTGATAACCAACTCCTGAATGAATTTTACAACATAAACCTTCACGCTTATAACAATAAAAAATATGAATTACAGACAGTACACTTGACGGTTATATATTTTTTTGTCCATTCGGCATTTGTTTAGTTTTACAACAGAGAGTTTTGAATGTCACTCCCGTTGTCTTGTGTTGTAAATTTCTACCCCTCAAAAAAGTAACGGGCTAATATTAGCCAATTAAATCAGCCAGACGATTAATCGGTCAGACCCTAAAATGTACATCAACAGTTTCACAGACCTTCCACGTTGCGTCGCTGTCAATATCGATTTGGGGGTCCCAATAAGGCTCAATTTACATGAGCTGGCGGTTGATGCACAAATGTCAGCATATTTAAAAAATGGGGAAAACGGTTTTGCAATGATTGGCGTGAACATTGTTTTTATGTGCGTTACCTGTAGTGCGTGGTCCTCGCCTGAGTCGGCAGCGTCTTGGCCGGCCGGGACGCTGACGGGTTTATGGAGGCGTCTCTCGGCCGCCAGACTTTTCCTGTCCTTGCTGAATTTGTCCACCAGCCGCGAGTCCTTGGAGCGCTTGGCCCGCATCACCTCACTGGCGAGCGTCTTGCTGCTGGAGTTGATTTCAAAGATTGTCTAGACGAGGAAGAGCGTCCTTTAAATTAGTGGGTATCAAAATGGAGTCGGGGGGAGCCGTGAGAAGCAATTTGGGGGCGGGGGGGTGTCAGAAGAACGCTGAAAAGCAACACTGTTAAAACGGGCCCACTCACCGATTTAGATTTGTAGCCCTTGATGGCGTCGACTATTTGAAGGCGGTCCAGTTCAGTTTTCTCCAATCCCGCCCCTAAAACAAAAACAAACCGTCACCAACGAGTTGTCTGATGAGCACCGGCGAGGGGCGCTCGTCCTCTAAAAACGGACCCAGTAAAGGATGGACGGCCATGCAGGTCAGGTCCAAGTTCTTCACTCGTCTGATGGACTCCACTGAGGGATTCGGCCGAGACTTGAGGTACTGCTTGTAGGCGTTCTCCGAGACGCGGTGCAGGTTCTGCAGGTCCAAGGAATTGTCGTGCGCCGTGATCAGATTGACAGCTGCGTCGTCCAAGATGCTTTGAGGCACCCGACCGAACGTTCCGTCTGAATCTGCAGGGAGGACGATTTACTTTAGGGAAAAAAAAGGCACTTTTTGGGGGTTTTTTTTTTTTTTTGCAAATGTCTTACCTGCCGAGTGTTCTGGCGTGGCGAGCTGCACCGGTCTTCCCAGGAAAAGGTGAAGGTCATACACAAAAGGGACCTCGTCTGGACAAACCATACTGTAGGCTGTGCCGCTGCGCCCCGCTCGGCCCACGCGACCTGATCGTCAAATACGACGAGCCAATTAATTGATGGAATTAAATACTTCAAATGTACTGCAGAGTGCACATCCCCTCTGTGATGAAATGGATTAGATGGCCTCGTGTGCAATCTTGTCCTTTTGCTCACCAACTCTGTGCAAGAAGAGCTTTGACTTGGAGGGAAAGTTGTAGTTGATGACGTTGTCCAGCAGCGGGATGTCAATACCGCGAGCGGCCACGTCCGTCACGACGAGCACCATGGCTTTGCGGTGCACAAACTTCCCGATGTTGATCTTCCTGGCCGTTTGATCCAGGGCGCTGTAGATGTAGGCGCACTCTAGCCCTTCTGACGACAACAACTACACAACCACCACAAGACGTCAGAAACATAGCGCGAGAGTCTTCCGAGCAGGTTATTATTATTGTTTTTTTTTTTAATGCTCTGCTGACCTCCTTGATGTACTCCACGTGATGTTTGGTGGCGGCGAAAACCACCGTCTGCTCCTGAGGCTTGACCACGTTCCTCAGAAGGTGAAGCAGCAGTGCCGGCTTGTCATCCACTCGCAGGTGGAAGAAGGACAGCTGGGGGGAAAAGAAGACAAGGCACCTTTCAATACATGACACTTAAATTTAAATTCGGAAATTTTTTTTCCCCAACCTTGATCTGGTCACTGAGCTTAGAGTCCACATCCAAACGAATCAACACTGGTTCTGTCAGTCCTGAGAACGAAAAAAAAATTGTCTGTCTTGTCGACAGTCACTCTATAGGTCACGGAACACTTTATAAAGTACAACAACAACATTTTTTGAGACCCAATATCCACCTTCCAATATATAACATTATCATTTCAATAAAAAAAAATTTTTTTACAGATTCTTATCGTAAATCACGTAACTTCCGAACATCTGCTAGCTTCATGCTAACGCACAATGTGAAACACCATAGATGTGCGACTGAAACTAGCATCTAAATTCTGTTCGTTATTACCACTTAAGCAACAGTTGCTTGAACGCAAACAGGCATATATTCTTTATCTTCTGCATAAAACAACTAATATTGCAATTTAGTCAGTCTAAGACAATGCTGCGCTACTTGTCAATTTATTCACGTGTTTATGTTTAGAATGTGTTTAAGGACTGTGTGTGTGTGTGTGTGTGTGTGTGTGTGTGTGTGTGTGTGTGTGTGTGTGTGTGTCTCTCTTTGGTGTGTGTGTGTGTGTGTGTGTGTGTGTGTGTGTGTGTGTGTGTGTGTGTGTGTTTCACTTTTAACGAAGGAGTTACTGTAACCTTTGGAAGTCATATTTGATCAAATGCTGATATTGGATCGTCTCACCCGCCCTGGCAAACTCCACCAGCAGTTTGGGCAGCGTGGCAGAGAACAACAAAGTCTGTCTAGTGTCAGGAAGTCTTCTGATAATCTCCTGGAGCTGTTCGGCAAAGCCCATCTCAAACAACCTGAACAGGAAAGAAACATTCATGGGATTCGATAACAGCTTTGCGAAATGAACGCGTAACATTTAAATTACCTGTCAGCCTCGTCGAACACCACGTACTCCACATGATTCAACTTCAAGTTCATTTGCTGGACGACATGCATGAGACGGCCGGGGGTACCGATGATTCTGGAGGACGGCGGAGAGAAATCAGCAATATAAAAAGTATTGATAGTCATTCAAGGGGGAACTCAAGGCAAAAATCATTTGAAACTATAACACAAAACGACTTCAGTTTGTGGTTGTACGCACATGTCGGGGTTTTCATGAAGCGCAGCAAACTGGTCCTCCAAACTGGAAGGCACAGACATCGATTTAAGAGTGCAAGCGCAAAAATTTCAACGTCAACATGAAATAAAAATAGTAACAACCACACACCTGTCTCCACCAAGGATCAAGGTTGTCTTCAGCTTAGTGAACCTCCCCAACTACGACGATCAAATTTGAGTGGAATTTATTTCCAGGCCTGACCTAATTTGACCTCGCACTTCTTGCCATCTTACCTCTTTTGTGAACTTCATAGTCTGCAGGGCCAGTTCTCTGGTGGGGGTCAGGATGAGAGCCCGAGCACCCGTCTGGGCATGCGGCGCCTTCAGCTTCTCAAACATGGGCACCAGGAAGGCGGCCGTCTTGCCGCTGCCAGTCCGAGCCATGGCTACGACGTCTTTGCCGTCCAGAATGACCGGGATAGTCTTGACGTGCGGAGAACGGGGTTAGAACGGAGTATGTCAACAGACATCACGCGTATTCGAGGATACCAAGGGAGGCCAGTCCCACCTTTCTTTGGATTGGCGTTGGCACCTTGTAACCCTTCTTCATGACGCCCTTGAAGACGGGGTAGCAGAGTCCTAATCACACACAAAATGGAGAAATGGGGTCAAGAAAATATACCCCTCCATCACTGTATTTCCTTATTTAACTGGATTACAAATATTTGACCACATTCAAGAGCAACAGCAACGAAATGCGGTGTTGTTATTGCACTTGAGCTTTGTTCTGGTGGCTCTCACCCATGGATTGAAATCCTCCCGATTTTTTCTTCTTCTTATTCTGGGCTCGGACCAGCTCCCTGGTATCAGGCTCCACATCAGACAGGCAGTCCGAAGCGGTGGGGAAGCGCAATAATTTTCCCTTGGGCTGTCAAAAGTCAGATATAACAAATCTAGATTTGAAAATATAGATAAAACTACATTACAAATAATGTATTCCCCCTGAGTGAGGGCATTTCAAAAATAGATGACGTATTGATGAGCTGAAACAAAGCACAACGTACTGAGTAGCACGTATCTATTCTTTGAGAGCCATTTCGCAATCCGGTAATATATGTTGCACTTTATGGGGGAGGAAAAAGGTGTGAAGGGGGCATCCGGATTTGAACCGGAGACCTCTTGATCTGCAGTCAAATGCTCTACCACTGAGCTATACCCCCTGCTACAACACAACCTGCGTTATTGGAATCAAGACCTACAGTTAGCTCGATCACAACGCAAAACGGAAAAAGAAATTACGTGCGCATCTAAGAATGTTTTGAAGGCTTACGGAATCATCGTCTTTGATTTGGACGTCTATTTCGAAGTCTCCGCCGTCGGAATCCGCGTTGGGCTCTCTGCCAGCCGTATTTTTCTTCTTCTTGGTCATTTTCTTCTTTCTCTGAGCCATGGCGGCGTTCAAAAATGATTCTTCTTTCACCCGCGACGCGTTGAAGAAATAAATTCTCGTTTCAAGAGTTCATGCGATATAAAAAGGGTCAGCAACGACTGAAACGGCTATATTGTAAACACGTGTGAGTTTCTTCTTCGTCTTTTTAATTTTCTTTTTCCGCTTCTCAACTTCCGGCAGCTGGCTGCTGGTCTCGACTGCCACCTATCGACTGCAATTGGAAGTTGAGTACTGTTACCTTTTCAAAAGTAGGAAATTAATAAGTGTCCATCGGTAATGTGTCCATTAAGGGAGTACAAAAGAAGTACTGATAAAAAAATTGTTTGAAGCTTTTATGTTAGTTTTTAATAAAAGCATATGTGTCGTATTAATTCGCATTATTGTTGGCATTAATTAGGGTGAATCATTATTCAAGGAAATCCCCGTTGTCTTTATCTATCAAGCAGCTGAGGGCATTTCCTCAACAACAGAGAGTATCCAACATCTATGAGGGTTAAGGCATTTATTAGTGTACAAGTGCTTTTTTTTTTTGTTACTAAAACAAAAAGGTGAGGTATTTTGTTTCAAGTCACCGTGCAGGTCATTATTTGACGAACTACATCCAACTATTTCAAATTGACGAATGATTTATTTACCCAGCTTCAAATTATCTATTACAAGTGAGGCGTTCAGGAGGGTACAAAATCATTTTTCTGTCAAACGCACTTGTAAGTATGAATTTGTCACTGCCGTGCACTTTTAGCACACAAATTTCCTCTTGTTGACAAGCGGCCAGAGTGGATTTTTATTTATTTCTTTTTTAAATCACCCAGTGGAAATGTGTCCCTTGGATGATAACGCTGACACTAATATGGCAGCCAAAACGTACTGTTTGAAGTCAGTGGGCTGATGTACAGTAAATAAGTCAACACCATGGCAACAGCCCGCAGCTAATGCCATTCATATTCCCCCTGCAGAGCTCGGCTGCAGTGGCCTGGAGCCAAATCTGCCTCGGGGGCTGAGAGGGATGCAGGCTATGCATACACACACACACCAAACAAACACAGAGAACCACTAGTCGTGCCGCGTCTATTTTTATAAGTTGATGTATAATTCACGGCGTGTAAAAGGTGATCAGACTATTTTGGTTTTGGAATCAGTTCCGCATGGTGGGATTCTGGCATTTAATGACATGATGCTGCTTATGAGTCACCGGGCGAGGCTTTGCGTGGCTACAAAAGGAAACAAACAAACAAACCCAAAAAAAAAGTAGGGTGTTATGCCTGCTTTTGTCGCTTTTCTTATAAATCCTCTACGAGAGACTTCACCTTCATCCTGACACCTACGAATAACAAATTGATTCATCGGGAGGCAATGTCGGCCACGCTAAGCTGGATACTGAGCTGCGGCTGAGTGTGTGTAACCTTTCCAAAAAGCTGCGGCGCAAGTTGTGTCAGCAAGAAGATGCTAATGCGCAAACACTCACCAGTGGCTAAGTGCGTGAACGCGAGTCATTAGGGGAACAGATGTCAGAGCACGTCTCAGGTTAAATTTGAGTTTAGGATGTTCCCATGCAGAGTGCGTGTGTGCGTGTGTCAAGCAGATGCTGCTGCCTCTAAGCCGTGGAGATTGAGGGAGGGGGAGACTGTTTAAATTAAGAGATTTGCAGAGTTGATGATTTGTATGGGCGAACCTTTAAATAGCGGCGCTGATGCTGGTGGCTTAAATTCTGTTTAACCCTATATTGAGTGATTTATTTATCATTTAGTGGCTCTGTTGAAAAGAGTCCATTATCTGGCCCACTGGGCATTTTCAAGGTTTCATTTTGGTCGGGGGCCAAATTGTAGTTTTCATAAGGCTGTTTGTGAGTGTGAATAACATCACGTTCGTCGCCATATTGGAGTCTGACATCCTTGCAGATATCTGATTTTACATCACAGACTTTTTGCGATATCGCGGGAATTTGCGGCGATTACTTCGCCACACGGACTATTGTTACTGCAATAAATGCAAGCCAGCAGGAATGATGAGTGTGTAAAAGACAAGAGAATGTCCAAAGTTTGGAATCCTTTTCCACCAAAAAGAAGATAAAGTGCAATGTCTCTACCGCATAGTCAAACTTGCTTACAACATTCGCCATTTTGGAGAGGCTACCACCACTACTTAGAACAAATTGTAATCCCTCCACAGGTGGGATCATGTGTAGATGCAGCTGCCGGTGGACTTTCAATTGCTCTAATCAACAAACGTGAACAAAAATAAACACGTCACAAGCATGTTCATACGCTAGCTGCACATCCACTGGTGCCCAGAGGCTAACAGTTAGCCAGTTAGCTGGAAAAAAAGGCTCAAGGTGAACCTTTCACATCTCTGTGGAGGAATTTTGGCCCACTCATCTTCGCAGAATTGCTTCAACTCCGCCATATTGGAGGGTTTTCAAGCATAAACTGCCCGTTTAAGGTCAGAAAGATTCATCACTAAGTATCCCAAACGCTTGATTTCAATTATTGCTGCCAGGGGTGGCATAACTCATTATCAGGTTCAAGGGGCAATTACTTCTTCACATCGGGACAGGTAGGCTTGGATTTTGTGTGTGTGTGTCTGAAGTAAATTAAATAGACATTTAGAAATTGCATTTCTACAATATTCTCATTTATTGAGATGCATCTGTACTCTCTAAGTCCACTCAAGTTCAAATGGCAATCTCGGGGCTGACAGCGGCAAGACAGCCGACACAATCCCCCCCCCCCCAAAAAAAAAACAGCACACGAAGTATTACAATATTCGCACAAACAAATCCACCAACAATTAACCATGTCTCAAATATGCCTCTTGATCAGCAACCCGGTGTGTTGCACCCAAGCGAGGGCCGCGGCACTGTGTCAATGTGATGCCGCCACCACTAGTGACAGCGGCAGATGGTGACGGGGCCTCGGGCAGTGGCCCCGCCGCTTCGGAGACCCCGAGCGCAGGGACAGAGCAGTCATGCACAAAATGCATGGCCACTGATTGCATCTTCAGATGCCGTGTACGGACACAAGATGCTGAAGGAGCGGCGGCTCTTCCGTGCTACATGTTTCTCGTTTTACTGTACGCGTATGAAAAATGGAATAAAAATGCGCGTCAATGAAATTCTCGCGGCTGTTCGTGTCACAGGTTAGCACTTGTTGCTAGGCAGAACTTTCCACCTGAAAAAAGAAATAAATACATAAAAAATAAAACAAATCTGGGTCCTCACTGTGCTGTTTCTTGGCAACCTGTGGTCAAGGACGCTGCTGCTCCACTCCGAACGGAGAGGGAGACACGGCAGTAATGTTCCATAAAATTGAATTAAAAAAAAAAATTCAAAACACGTAAATACAGATAACGTTTTTCAACAATTTTGGGGGTTACCTGTCTATAATATTGAATTTTTTTTTCCCAAGGCATTAATAATGGCTGTCAATTACACACGGTCCACTGTTCATTTTTTTTTCCCATCACAGTGCGGTGGTTCCTGTGGGGCACTGCCACACCTGCCCCAAAATGCAAAATTGCCATTTATAGCCATACAAGACATGTCATAAATATCTTTTCTTTTTTTATCACTTTAACCTGTTTTCGCAACATTTTATAACAACGTTGTAGTGTAAATCTACCAGAGGATAAAAAAACATTTGAGAATTCATACAAGATCAAAATCTATGCATGCAGCATTAAGGACATAATGATGGGAAATGTGAAAATAGCAGAAAACGGATGTGAAATGGCCCCGAATGTCTCTAACCTGCAGTTTTCTTTTTAATAAGCAAATCTGAATGCAGAATATTGTGGTCAAACGCTGCCGGATGACTGCTAATTATGACTGCTGGGCAGCAACACACTCGTGTTGAATCTCATGCCCTCGACACTTGTAGTGGAAGGTTATATGTGACGACAAGATGGGGGGGGAGCCCAAAGAGCAAAATTAACTTTTCATGCATTTCCGCCGCACCGCGCTGTTGCTTGCTTGCATAGCCGCCGGCTTGCTTCTTCTTCTCTTTGCTTCGCTTGTGTCTTAATTGCAATTCCATCAAGAATTTAAAGCCCCCCTCTTCCCCGTTCTTGTCACTGTCACTATATACACACACTCGCCACATGGCAGAAGGAGGGAAATTAAAGTGGCCATTGTGTGTCAAGATAAGTCGGTGGCGTCTCGGGGGAAGACTCACTTTTGTCACCGGAGAACCGCTGGACCCTCCTTCCTTTTTCTCGCCATCTTCCAAATCTCCATCCTGCCCTCTCCTCTTGCGCAATCTTTCACCGGCTTTATCACTCAAAGGCTGGATGGAGCGGCTCTGCGCAATATAAATATATAATATCGTATAAATAAGGACAGCAAGACCATGGGGGGAAGAAGAGGAGAAAAACAGCAGATGAGACACAAATTGCCTGTCGCAGCAGCTTTGGGACTTAAAAAGTGTTCTTGTTTGCTGGTGAGAAAAAAAAAAATCTGAAGTTATGGTCAACGTTTTGGCAATTATTGAACATTTCCCCCAAAAAATTAAACCAAATGTGAAGAATGGTCATAACAAATGATTGATCAATGAGACAGATACATTTTAAGTCATCTTTCTTGTGGATTTTTAAAGTGTACAGAATTTTTTTTTTTTAACATCGTTCAAATTTGAGAATAAACTATCAACTTTCATGATTGAAATAAAAAAAATGGAAAAAAATAAATAAAATAAAAATATATATAAAATAAATCCTGATTTTAAAAAGTAAATAGATTCTTTAAAAAGCATTTCTAAAAAATGGGAAAAATAAACAGCACGAATGAACAATGTTGAATTTTAACAAATTCTTGATTTTTTTTTATTTTTAATAAATTAATTTTTCAGCTGCGCACGAGAGCGACGACCTCGAGACCGGCAGGGAGCACCAGAGCGCACCCCTCTGATTGCCCCCCCACCCGTCACGAATGAAATCACCACCGCGCAAACATATGGAGGTCAAACGCGCGTCGCGCGACGATCTCCGGCGGCGGCCGCCTGTGGGCGCGTCGCTTTTGCTTGTGGATGGAGCTTAGCGCAAAGCTCTGCCTTATCCGACGGCATTACGGTCTCTTAGAAAGGATTTACGTTTTAATTCTTGATTAGATGGAATTTTCTCGGCAGTGTGCAAGCGCGCCGATACGCAAGATAATGGCGTGTTTGTTTGAATGGCGCGCGCGCCCGCACGCGCACCATTCCCATATAAAGGCGAGGCTTTTAACACATTGTCCGATAGGGGCTATTGTTAGAAGCAATGGATTATCAATCACGAATTAATCCCGACGGATGTGTGTGTGTGTTTTCTCCACACACTTTTCATCTTCTTAATGAGAGGATTTATTTCTTGTTATTCTATAGCAACGTGAAAGGGGGGGTCAATCAAAACCTCATTTTAACTATTTAGTTCACTCACATTTTCTCCTCCTCATCATTTCTTTTGCCTGAGTGGCTGCGGAGAAGAAGAAAAAAAAAACCCTCATTGCTCTGTATCAAATCCACTTGGTAGGGCACTGCCCCAAATGATGCTGTCAGGGGCGGAGCTAAGTGCTTCAGGGGTGGCCATGTTCACTCACACATCTGGAGGAATATTTTGCGACGTGGCAATATCCATTTATCACGAATCAAACCACCACCACATCACTGCCACAAACGCAGAGAAACCACTGACTAAAAGAACACTCCAGTGGTTGTTTATTTGGAGAAATTTGGTCCAACTTGGATTTAAATGTGTTGATACATTCTCTATTAACAGCTGGTGAGGCACTGCCCCCAATGCCCTTAATGCAGTCGCCATTGACTTGACTTTTTTTTTTTTAAATTCAAGAATTTAGCTTTGTAGCACACCTTTCATCTTCTTAATGGGAGGATTTCTTTCTCATGATTTTGTGGCAAAGGGGGTCACACCCTCACTTCCCCTTTCTTCTAATCGCTCCACTCGCATATTTTTCCTCCTCCTTCTCCTCCTCCTCCTCCTGATCATCTCTTTTGCCTGAGTGGCTGCTGAGCTGACTGACTGCCCGCATGGCTGCCTCCCTCCCTCGTCGGACTGGCTGGCTGGCAGTTCGTTCACGCGCCGTGAACGAGGCACTCGGGCTGCTTCCCTCCCCTCCCCAAAAGGTGGCACCGCTGCGAGAATTTCCGCCGCTCCAGCAGCAGCACCACTGGGACCCCCACTCCCGCGTCGATCCTGTGCTGCATCCATGACTTTACACACCTGGCTGGTGTACGGGCTTGGATTTATTTTGGGGCTCTGCTTGACGCAAGGTCAGTACGAGATACAATTTCTCACCCTTATTGTTCGGCTTTTTGAATGTAATAAAAGTGCAGTAATTTTCAATGTGTTAAAAGTAGTTGTGTTTTGGGACATTTTGGAGCCACTACAGAGTAATTGTTAAGACCACATGAGATAGAACCAACAGGCCACATTTGCAATAAGTACGCCTCGGCTCCACATCCACAAATCCACGGCAAATATCCATTGTCGCCGACTTAAATTTCCCAACAGAGTCATAACAATCCAGTGCAGCAGGGCTTTGCTGTAACCTTTTGTCTCACTGGGGTTGCGGTTGGGGGGGGGCGATGTGCAAATTAAGGGGCAGCGTGCTTAACTGTCTCCAGAGTGTTTGGTCACCGCTGACGTCAAAAAGTCCCTAATAAGGCCCACGGACGCCTTGTTTATCAATAAGGCAAAGTCCATAAATGGCACTAATTGAGATGAGGCGGAAAAATGATGTCGAAACGCCTCTTGGCCAGGCATCGCCGGAAGAGGATTTGGATGCATAAACATAATTATATTTACATGATAGAATGTAATCCAAAATATTGAATTGTTTTTTTGTTGTTGTTGAAAGAGTGATACAGGATTAGGTTTTTTTTTTCTTCTTGGTGGGACTGTAACTCTGCAACAAACATCGACGGGCAAGCTTAACAACACAAGAGCACTCTCAAATGCATTCGAAGAGCATTTGTGGGTGAGTGATTTGTATCAGCTTCGACATTTATTCAAATGCATCATGTATTACCATAGCAGGAACTCATGATAAAGAACACAGACATGAATTTATGACAACCGACATGACTCAACACAGCCAATATTTACCTGAAGTTGCTTGAAGAAGAGCAACTAAGCTATTTTGCAATTTTGGTGCCTCACCAGCTGTTTTGGTTCGGGTTTGTATTTTCAAGTATGTTTCTATCCATTTTGATTCCAAAAAAAAATCATTTCAATAAAAAAAAAAAAAAAAATTAAAAAAAATTTAAAATTTAAAAAAAAAATGCAGGGAAGAAAAAAAAAAAAAGAGTATTCAGGCATTTAAATTTCAACTAATTTCACATCCAAAATTGTGCGGTATCTTAACGTATAGAGCATTGGGGGCAGTGCCCCACAAGCTGTTTTGATAGTTAAAATTTTTTTTTTTAATTTCTTTGTCAAAAATGCTAGCATGAGGCTAATGCTAGTCACATGCATTTCTTTTTTTTTTAAATCAAGAAAGTTGAAGAGCTGACAGGTCACATGAATAATCAACTGATCAATTTTAAATAAGGTCCGATCAACTGTAATTTTATATTACGTTTCCTTCGTATATATATATTTTTTTTTAAATAAGACACTTCTTTCAATTCAGTTTCTATTAATTATAAAAGTCAGTACAGTACATTGTAGTACAGAATCTTATGGATTTACTCCTCTTTCAGAAACAAAAGAAAGAGACTCGAAAAAGAAAAAAAAAACAATTTGAGACAGTCACTTTGCATGTATTTTATTAGGGGCATTGGTTGCATTGCCCCACTGGCTATTTTTATTCCCTTTTTTTTGTTTCACTTTTTAAGTTTTCGGACAAAAATATTAGCAATCCAGTATTTAAGCTTCCTTTCCCATTAGATATATAATCGCATCGCAATGGGCCCGTAAAACAAGTAGCTGCCAGCGAATCCCACTTTGGTACCAATGGAGTGAGATGTCTTTACAATTCATCCGTTTTTGGTTCGAGACAACCTGGCGTGCAGTGAGAATAAATTGGAGTTTACCAATAGGGGGTGGGGGAGTGAGGCGGGAGGGTAGAATGTCTCCCCAGTAAGTCCTCATTATGTTGACAAATGCTCATAACTGGGCAGCTCCTCACTGCTTCATGAGTGCAGCCAGCATGCAGCATTGAATGCTAACGAAGAGTTAAATCAGCTTCTTTTGCCCGATGTAAATTGCCGTCATTTCCATCCGGCAAAACAAACGCGGCAGGCCTTAGTGCCGCGCTAATGGAATACTTAGAATGCCCCCCCGAGATGGTGCGAATTTGGAAATGGGCCCAAAAAAAAATACATCGACAATTAGGTGAACAGTCAACATTCCTAACCCAGAAATTGTCCACAGGTGAGAATGTGAGTGACACTTTTGAAAATGATGACTTTGACAACATTCTTAGGGAATCACAATGCCCCATCACTGGTGAGCTATTTCCTTGGGGGTGACCTGACCCCTGGTCTCGTATCACCACCATGGGGCGAAATCTGACACATCCCCTTAAAGGTTGGCACGCACTTGCAGTCCCGGCGAAGCTTTACATCGATTCCAGCAGATTTCCAAAAGTGATTTTTGTAAGAGCATTTGCGGCGGGATTAGTTCACTCCTGAAAGCTCCATCCCGGCTTTGGGTTTGGCTATTTAGCGGCGGCCAGGCAAGTGAGAGGCTGGTGTCCTCCGTGGGCCACCGCAGATAAAGAGGGCGGATTGGTTTCAGCTCCAAAGCTGATCTTCCATCTTGTGTGTGCGGGATTTGGCAGGTCAGTCGCAGGTGTGTGCGATCACTCTGAATTCACAGGCAATCCCGGCTTAACCCCCACCGCCCAGGTGGATTCAGCCCGCATCTTTTCTTGAAAGTACTGGGCAAAAACATGAAAAGAACCCGGATAATTCCTGAAAGAAGTCGTTGCTAGAGGGTCTCAATGTGCCCCACTTGCGTCTGTTTGGGCAAATCATTTGAATCATCACTTGAAAAGGAAGCGTCAGCCCCCCCCCCCCCAATCCACCACTTCCATCCTGCGCCCTTGAGTCATTTTCTGTGCCATCGCCTCCAACGTATGCAGGTTGCTAAGCTTTGAAATGGTGACACACTACTGAGGCTGAGTCCATCGCTGTTTGGCCAAAAGCTCGAGAGAAAAAGCTCACCAATGCGTCTTTTTTTTTTTTTTTTTTTACGCTTGTCACTCAAGATGACGGGAAGTAGAAAAGCAGCCCTCAAGATGAATCCCAGTGACGTTTTAGATTAACTGCTCTTCGAGCGCCGAGCACGATAATGTCATCAGTTCAAGTGGCTTTCTTGAAAGGAAAAGAAAATCCTTTTTTTGTGTGGGGGGGGGGGGGAATTAGCACTCATAAATGGACCTCATCTGTTTAGATTAAACATTTGGCGCTTGTTGCTAGGCAGAATTTGCAAGCCAAAACTAATGTCCTTCAGAAAGTGCCCATTAAAAGGGACGTCAGACACTGACTGTCAAAAAAAATAAATAAATAAACTTAATGTTGCAACTGTATCAATGCGCCATATTGAACACCGAAAGAATAAAATATTTTGCACCTCAATGCTCCGACGGAACTTTTGACATTTGTGTATAACAATTGTTAGCAGTACACCTCTGCATAACATTGTATGCTAATTAGCATTAAAAGAAACCCAAAAAAGAATATAAATTCATTGAATGACTTTATTGGCACTGTTTTAACTCCATGTACTGATTATGGCATTATAAGAGTGCCGCCACTGCCACGCCACCTACTGTGGTGGAGTGCAATGACAAAATACAAAAAATAATAATAAATAAAAATCAGGCTCCCTGTATTCAGATGCGTGGAGGATTTCCGCATCTCAAGAATATTATCCGATTTATTTCGTCCTCCCGGAAAGCGAATTGATTATCTTTGTATTGAATCAAAATTAGACAATGAACATTTTTGCCAATGTTCTGACATGTTACGAACCGATCCAGTGGCAGACACCTCATGAATTTATGCTTGCGCACATTCAATTTGAAATAACGGCTGGAAATTTCACTGTTTTGTTTATCCAATTCACCGATTAATCTACCAAATATTCGACATATTGATCCATTGTTAAAAATCGTTAGTTACAGCCATACTAGCATAACTGCAACATAATATAAAGACTATGGTGTATATTTCATCACCTCGCATGAATAGACACACCAATATAATATTACTAATGAAAAATATCGGCCACAAAGGTATTATGTTAAGCTTCCTTATTATGTCCCCCCGCTGTATCGTTAAGCTTTCTACCGCAGTAATAAAACCTGCAATTCTATTATGATTATTTATGATGATTGTGTTTAGCCTCCCTTCCATAGGGGCACAAGAGCAGGCATGATCATTACCTTGTCACGTTGTCTTTTCTCTCTCTATGTTGCCCGCGTAGTGGAGGGTCTGCAGTGCTATGGCTGCAACATCATCCAGGATCAGCGGTACGTGGACGTGGGCTGCTCCAACCCAGAGGTGCTCACCTGCACCCACTCACACAAGGGCTTCAAGCACCGCTTCTGCATCAAGACAGAGAGCAGTGAGTAAATCACACCTCCCACAGAAAAAAAAAAAAAAAACTAAGGAATGATTTCAAAGTAGACCTCAGGCGTTTTTTTTTTTACTTTCATCTGACCCCTCGAGGACCTCCATTCTCCTTTCTTTATTTGCACCTGCAGCCTAAACTGGCCTCCCTTGACATCTGGCCCACAGATGGAGAAAATATCAAGCCCCAAAGCAGTGGTGATAATGAATATGGAAGGATTGTGAAGGAGGTGTGGATTTACCGTATTTTCCGCACTGTAAGGCGCTTTGGAGTATAAGGCGCGCCTTCAATTCTATTTTAAAACTGTTTTCATATATCGGGCGCGCCGCATTATAAGGCGCATAGAATAGAAGCTACAATAGTGGCTGAGGTTGCATTATGCATCCACTAGATGGAGCTACGCTAAAAGGAATACAATAGAGCTTTATTTACTGTATATAGCGCTTTCACAACCGCTACAGCTGTCCCAAAGCGCTTTGCAGAACATTTAAAATACTACGTCCAAGAAATCACGTCCATATAGAAGGCGCATCGGATTATAAAGTGCACTGTCGGCTTTTGAGAAAATCGAGTGCTTTTAGTTGCGCCTTATAGTGCGGAAAATACGGTAGCTAGAAATCACATGAGGTGAACCAGTGGCATTTTCTTTCAATATGACCTAATAATTCATTTAAAATGGATGGGGGTATTAAAAAAAGTTTATTTTACAGATTTTCCTTGTTTGTTTTAATTTTAACAATGCAATGTTTTGCAGAAGTATCCTTATTTTTAAAAACAAATGATACTATTTATAGCTGCAGAGAGTTGGGGAGGGGTTGCGAATATTTTCTCTCTCCTCTGGGGTGAGCCGTGCAAAAAGAAAATAATTGAGAAGCACTGTCCTAATCCTAAATTAAAAAAAAAAAAGTCAGAGTTGTATAAATGGACACTGGATAAGGGTAATTGAAACATTGGCTCTCTGTAGTCATACATTTGGTAATTGTTTTACAGGAATGGACACGTGCTGGGACACACAAAAAAATGAGAACAAACACAAGACTTGCACTCCTTTTTTTTCTGTGACCCAGATAATACGGCAAAGTTAGATATTTATTTGGGGAATATGTATAGGCCAGCAGATGATTAAATGGTGATGAATGCACTGTGGCGTGCCAGAGGACATTGGCTTAATCATTTCTAATCGTACTTCAATGCAAATGTTCTCGGGGGCCGCCGTTGTGAATATTCACTTAGCCGCTTACATAACGCCGCTGTTTTAGTCGCCTTGCTGAGTCCGTGAGAGGCCCCTCGTGGTGCCATGTGAAGTCAAACGGAGGATGTCCTCAACAGGGCGGCGGTGATGGTCAGATGCTGAGATGTGCGCACACACACATCCAGATGTTGCCTCGCTTGACGTCTGGAAGCCCAAAGGGCTGATGAGGCACCTTTTTCCTCCTCCTTTGAGAGAGTGCAAGCTAAGACCAAGGCTGACAACATCACACCGACTGACAAACACTCTTGTCAAAATCAGTAATCAGCCTGACCTCCGCCAAGGCTTAAAATGTCGCGCAGTCGTGATTCGTTGTTCATAAATTCCCCTCTTAGCGTTTTCTTCCGAGTGGAATCTGATTTTTGTGCGTTTTGGGAAAAGAAATCTGAATAGAAATTTGTGTCAAGGAAGTTTGTTGAATTGACGTCTTTGTATGTCAGAGGAGAGCTTAGCCTGGGTTGTTAGTAGATGTTGTGGAAAATTTCATGGGTGATATCTTTGGATAAATTGAGGTTTCTAAAAACGAGAAGAAAAAAAAAACAGCTGCCAGGAAGCTGCAGACACAAACATACCTGAGGTGAGGAAAACATAACCTCCCGAGAGGTCAGAAAGCAAATAAAAGAAAGGGGGAAATGCATTGTGACATTGGGGGCATGTGACGCTTACCTTGGGACTGGACTCTCAATTATAAAGATTATGAAAGAAGTCCTCGGTGCTGAGCTCCTTGTGTCCAGTGGACGTCAGGTTGGATTTGGGAATTTTCCCAATGCTAATTAGAACCTTGCTACAGTCTGCAAAAACTGAATTTGACTGCCATTTCCCATGAACATTTTGGCTTTTTTTTTTTTAATCATAACAAAAATGTATTTGTATCAAAAGTGCCTTATTATCAGACTAGTAGTTTATGCAATTACATAAACCAATTTAGTCAGTCACAATAGGTATTTCCTCAAATAATGCCATTTCTTTGACAGGTAAATGACCCGCTAATTACCGACTTACACTAGTTGCTGCCTGCTGCAGCTATTTTCGTGCTGAGGCAGTCGACGACTCGGCGACTGACTTGTCATGTTCTCCATCCATCCATGCAGCGGCACTGGGCATCGTCCTGACCAGCGGCTGTGCCACGTCCAGACACTGCCAACAACAGGAGCTGCCAGGCGTGCGCATCCACTGCTGCGACTCGGACCTGTGCAACAGCGCCCCCTCGCGCGGCCAACTCAACTACGCATGCGCACTGGCCGGCCTGCTGCTGCTGATGCTGAGGATGTGGTTGTAGGCGATAGGAAATACCAATTCACTGTGTGACACAAAAGAGGAAAAACTGTCAAGTGATCGCTTGGCATTTTATGTCAGGGCTTGAATGATTTTTTTTTCTTTCAGGGTATGGTGTTAAATGAGCAAAATGATCGGATGTTCAGTATGCACCTTGGCTTGAAGTGGTCTTTTGGTTCGGGAACAAAACTGCTTGTGTTTTCAGGAACAAATTTAATGACAGTTAAACCCTTGGCTTGAAGTGGTCTTTTGGTACGGGAACAAAACTGCTTATCTTGTGTTTTCAGGAACAAATTTAATGACAGTTAAAATGAAATAACAGATTATAGACAGTATATTCTTTTTAGGAAGTGCAACATCAATAGTTTGTCTTCTTTTTAGAAAATAGAAAGTTGCAGACGAATGCAATTTGAAAAGTGTGAACTATTATGCTTTAAAAGACATTTGTTGTTGCTTTAGCTTTATCAAAAGGGCATGAAAGCGCTGGAAGTTGCATTTGTGCCGTGCTACTTTTTTTTTTATCACGACGCAATTGTAGTTACGTTCAAATTATTTGGCAAATTTGATGTTCTGACAAAAGCTCAGCGCTAGCCGTGGCATCCGCTAACCAGAATCTGAGCTACACTGTGTTTGTTTACAGTTACGCTTCTTGTCCATCACCGAATGTGTTTAACAGACGGTATGACAAAATGGCCCCTGCATTAAATAATTTTGTTGAAAATAATTAACTGCCTGTGTGTGCTGCAATTGGGTGGTGACCAGCGCAGGATCTACGCAGCTTCTCTTGCCAAAAGTCATCTTAGGTTCATAGATGACTCGATTTGCTATGATGGAACGTTCCAGCCCCATCTTTTTCTCAGAATTGCAGCTCCATGACAACCTCTCTCAGCATTCACAGAATAAAATTTTGCCATCGAAGTCACTCAAGCTTTCATTAAAGACACAATGGAAGCACACTAACTAGTTTTATTATGGCTGACACTCACTTATCCTATGAGGACATCATGTGCACTCATTGTCATTGCTGAAACGTCTTGTCTTGATTCAGATCAGAAAATGTCTGATGTGTGTTCTTCTTTCAAGGTCACTCTTTGTCAAAAGAAACCTACATAAATATATATTTTTTCAGTTTTTTTTTTTTCAGTTCTCCCGGCTTACTTTGGGAGAGCACATTGCATGTGGTTGTACAAGATTGTAAGAGTCATGCATGTAAAAAGTGGTCCATGGTTGTATTAATAAAATTATTCATATTTTCACAAATAAATGCTTGATGTGTACCTAATGTTGCAATGATGGACGGATGGATGGACGGAAGGTGACGGACGGGGGGCGGATGGCGGACGGTCGGATGGACGGATGCTGAATGGTCGGACGGATGGATGAATGGACGGATGGATGGATGAGACTTGTAGATAGATAGATAAATAGATAGATAGATAAACGTGTACTACCTGTCCAGGTGAGGTAATACGCAGCCTGAAGCGTCACCTCTTCCAGTGATGCTCTTTGTCCCTCCAGTCCATTGTACACAGCGGAGGAAACCCTGTGCCGCCGCGAGCCGCCATCTTGGATAGGTAGATCCTACTTGAGCCAGGATAACCCGCAAAACAACTCGTCCTAATCACTCCACTTTCCGGTTTCAAACTTCATTCCTGGTGAGTACGAACCAAAGGGGGAGTCGTTTGACGTCTGCCCCGTACAAAGGCGGAGAACGCCCTGTGGACGCTAGTAAAACATTGTGGCTATTGCGGGCCGGAACGGGGATGCTAACGAAACTAGCTCAACGGGGATCTAGTGCAAACCCGACGGCTCATAACTAACACTCTACTCGGGAGAAACATTATTTATTAGCCTGATCCCCTCGCTTTTACCACCCAGGTATACACCCTGGCACTGTCATGGTGTTTACCTCATCCTATAATCCAACCCCTGCGAGCTATCGTTAGCAGCCTAGCATGCTAAAGCTAAGTGTAGTCAGGTGTCGGGTGTTCAAAACCAAAAATCCGCCAAAGACATCTCGCCGATGTCATTGAAAGACTTTCCACCCGGGTCGACACTCGCCATCGGCAAACACGCTGTATCGTCGGCGCTCCTTTGTCACAATAGCACCTCGGTGATGTCATATAGCAGCTATTGTGCTAACGCCAACTTGGCTGTCAAGACTGCAAAACCAAGCATGAATTTTTGGGGGGCCCTGAATGGAGGAAAAACAACTAAAACTAGTCCGCGGAGTTACTGGACTACGGATTACCTGTCCTAAGCAATCGATTCCGTTTGGTTAACAAAAACTAAAGGTAAAGGCGGTTCGAGGCCCAAGTAAAAGTGGCTAATGTAGACGCAAAGATGGGTAAACTTCCGTCGGATTTGATGATGGTTGTCTCTTCTAAATTCTAAAAGGTACCATCAATTTAAAACTGTCTCGCGTGGTATACTAATTGCTTTCTAACCCGAATGTGGTTTTTGTCACGATTCCAAAAAAGGGGACACTAGAGGGGTCCTCGGTTTACGACGCAGTTCCCGTTCCACGGCTGTTACCAATTTGTACGTAGGTTGGAACACGCCCCAAATAATCGAGGCTGTGCACACTTGTCCAATCACATTACCTCCATTGTTTAGAGTTCTACAAGTTATAAGCCACAGTGATGGTGGCAAAAGTTGTGAAATGGTTTCTCTTGGTCTCCTTTTTGTGACATCGCGAAAACCTGCTGTTTCTACGACTTTTAATTTCCATTGTGCAATGCAAATTAGCATAGCGATTCAGTGCCAAAGCATCCATCGCATTGATTAAATTAATCAAAACTAAGGGGGAAAAATGCCTTCAATGTGTTGTCACTATCAGTTGCTGTACCGCGCTTTTTGGAACCCTCGTACAAGTTTGTCATGATTTGTCAGTTGTTTTTTGTGTTTTGTTTTGTAAGTATGCCTTCTTGCTGTACTCTTACGCCCCATCACAAAGTAGTTGACCGCACCCGTTGAAATATCGTTGAAGACCTGTGAACTGTGGAATTCTGCTGACTTCAAATGAGTCACAAAGTAGTTTCAGGATGTCTGGATGTCATGAGTTCCGTCAGTCTCGCTCCTCTTCCTCTTGCCACAATGGAAAGTAGCTGTTGAGACAAAGGAAAGGCATTGACGTGTGTGTCTCTGGCATAAAAAAAAAAAAAAAAAGAAATGCTGAGCCAGGTCATTTGGTCACATGGTAGAACACACTCTTCGTCTCTTATAAATAACAACATTGGTGTTTGCGTCCCTGTCGAGTATTACAAACGCGTCACATTTTGCTCCCCCCTGGCGAAAGCTACATCTCCGAGCCAGCGCAGTGAATACATTCACACAGGGGATCGAGATGCCACATGAGGGTCATGTGACGGCAGGCAACTGAGGAAAGGCGGGTGAGGGTGGTGGGGGGGTTTTGGCTTCTGATTTGAAGCAGGAATTTCAATTGTGCTGTGAAGGGTTTTTTTCCCCTTGAACTTAATCTTAGACACTGGAGCCTCTCAAAGCTGAACAAAAATGCGTCTTGTTACGTTCTCAATCGATTTTTTTTTTATATCGAGTGTTCTTCCAATCACTTGAGTTGTGTAATTCTTTCTACTTTCCCCTCTTTCAGAGCCACAATGGCCACCGCACCGTACAACTACTCCTACATTTTTAAATACATCATCATTGGTGAGTATGTCGCCGCTACGTCCACAATGACAAGCGGAAGGTCTCTCTTGTTGTTCTCAACTTGAAAACAAAGCAGCCAATGCGTTTTGTGTTGTTTGTATCCACTCCCAAGCGCCTCTAAATAGTCTCCAATTATATTACGCTTTGCCCAACTGGGCGTTTGCTGGCCTGTATATTCACAATTAGATTATTTTTCGGAAATGATTCAGCCCTGATAGACATACGGTCTCTATTTTGCTCTGTACAGGCGATATGGGGGTAGGCAAGTCATGTTTGCTTCACCAGTTCACAGAAAAGAAATGTAAGTACTCGCCGACGCCTTTTCATCATCAGCGTTTGAGCGTTTTATTTTCTTACAAATCCCTCAAAACCGGCGCAGGAAGCACGCGCTCAGCACTGAGAGGCTCTTCTCGGTGTCAGCTGCCGCCTCCCGCCGCCATTCAGTTGGCGCGGCGCTGAATGGGCGCTATTGAGACGCCAGATGCCGCCGCGCTCTGACTGAAAGCCATGAGACGGCAATTTGAGGCTTTTTGGAACCTTTTTGGTTCGATACGTCACGCACCTGCCGCTGGCCGCTTTGACGAGCCGAACAATGAATCGGAATTGACATGTGCAGTACACGTTCAAGCTGTTAGCATGTCGTTCTGTTAGTTAGCACAGAACACAAACCGATCCCTCCTCTATCTCTCTCTCTCCGCCACGCAGTCATGGCCGACTGCCCCCACACCATCGGCGTCGAGTTCGGCACGAGGATCATCGAGGTGAGCGGCCAGAAAATCAAGCTGCAGATCTGGGACACGGCCGGACAGGAGCGCTTCCGGGCCGTGACGCGTTCGTACTACCGCGGCGCGGCCGGAGCGCTGATGGTCTACGACATCACCAGGTACGGCTTTCACACCCAACACCGTAGTGCCTTGTTTCCCTGTATAATGGTTCTCGGTGTCCTGCTAAATAAACACGGCGAGTGAGGAATGTCTCCGTACGCCCCCCCCCCCCAACTTCCTGTAAAGTCCCCAAAATGGACGTACGCGGTTATTAAAATGGCTGCCTGGAACGCAGTTAATGGAAGAATGGTGGACAAATGAGTCGGCACTTCTCAAGTATCATGTTTTAGTTCCTGTCGATAACACAAGCGGAATGTCTCGGAAAGATTTGATGAGGCTCAAAACACACGCAGGTCACCTCAAGAAAATACTTTATACGATATATTTATACTACGCTCTGTGGTTTTCACACAGGAGAAGCACGTACAATCACCTCAGCAGCTGGTTGACCGACGCCAGAAACCTCACCAATCCCAATACGGTATTGTTGAAACAATTCATTTGATCTTATCTCTGGGAACTTACCACGACATCATCGGCGACGTCCCGCTTATCGCAGCTTTGGTTGACTTGACGTCCATTCGTCCTCTCATTCCTCCCGTCCGCGTCTCTCACGACAGGTGATCATCCTCATAGGAAACAAGGCGGACCTGGAAGCCCAGAGGGACGTCACGTACGAAGAAGCAAAACAGTTTGCCGAGGAGAACGGTGAGTCGGGACGGAACGAGCGTCGGGGAAGACGAGAAGTCGAGGAAAGCCGTGATTCTACATCGGAGCGTTTGAAGCGGAAGAAAGTACTTGTGGCCTCGAGGTTATAAAAGTCTGCGTTTTGGATATATCATGAGGGTTTTTTTTTTTTTGTTGTTCTGTTTTGACTTGTTTTTAATTCAGTTGGAGCTCGGACGTTGCGACGAAGAAAAGATACTGTGTCCCATTTAGCAGCTCAAAAAGTGGCAACAAACAAATCTAGCCCCATTTTGTGGTATTATTGTTGAATAAAATAAAGAACTAAACAGGTATAGATACAAAGATTAAAAAAGCCACTTTTCCTCTTTAGGTCTCCTCTTCCTGGAAGCCAGTGCAAAAACGTAAGTGTACGCAAACTCACCTTTGCAAAACATCCCCCCTGCAGGGCGGCCCCCTTTTTTTTTTTTTTTTTTTTCTGACGCCAATTTCTGTCGTGTTCAGGGGCGAAAATGTGGAGGACGCCTTCTTGGAGGCGGCCAAGAAGATCTACCAGAACATCCAAGATGGCAGCCTGGACCTTAACGCCGCAGAGTCGGGCGTTCAGCACAAGCCGTCAGCCCCCCAGGGCGGCCGACTAACCAGCGAGCCACAGCCCCAGAGAGAAGGCTGCGGATGCTAATGACCAAG